GGGGCAAGGAGCCCACTCATGGGAGGGGAGGAGGGGGAAGGAGGGGGTGTTGCGGGTGGCGGCCCGCCGCTGTCGCGCTGCGCCCGGAGCCAGAGCTTGGGTGTGGAGGGGAGGGCGAGGATCTCGCGTAGCTTTGCGGAGAGCTCGCCTGCCTGCGTCTACGGCGGGGGCCCGCGGTCACGAGCACTGTGGCAAGATACGGGGAGATACGGGGAGATATGGGGAGATATGGCCGCGGTCACGAGCACTGTGGCGAGCTGCGAGTGCGAGAGTGAGGTGCCGGCGGGCCAAGCGAGAGGTGGGAGGATGCGTGGGAGGTGGTCCGGACTGGCTCTCGGCCATCTCGGCTGGACCTCGGCGACTCGGCTCAATCTGGACTAGATCTCGGCTGGATCTCGGCTATCTCTCGGCGAGGATCTCGCCGTCATCTCGTCGGGCATGTGAAGCACCAGCCGGTGACCGCGGTACCGCTCCGGCACCTGAGGTTGCACGAGGCGAGCCGAGGCGAGGTCGAGGTGAGCCCACCGCGCCAGAGCTAGGTCAGTCTCAACGATCTCGGCCGATCTCGCGCCTCCACCCCCTCGTAATGCACCTGGACGTGCACCTGCCCCGCCTACGGAAGATGTCGCACGCACCTGTGGCCACTCACGAACCAACGCCCCTCCCCCCCCTCCCCCTCCCCCGTCGCCTGAGCCCCCCCCGCGCCCCCCGCCCGCTCCACCTCGCCAGCTGCAGACCGCGGCGCGCCGCCGCCACCGCCTCCCAACCCGCCTCCTTCGCCACTGCCACCGCCGCCGCCGCCGCCGCCGCCGCCGCCGCCGCCGCCACTGCCACCGACACTGCCTCCGCCACCTCCGCCGCTCCTCCTCTTCCCGCCTCCGCCTCCGCCTCTCTGCTCTCGCCTCGCCACAAGCGGAGCGCCCAGCTCCTCGCCGAGCTCCTCCGCCTGCGCACACCGCCATGAATGAGAGGCTTTGCCCTTCACACCGACCGCCAAACCTGCCGGCTCGACCTGCGGCAGCGCCTCGAGCGACGCTGCAGCGTCGCCGCCAGAGCGACCGATTCCGCCTCCGGCCGCCGCCGCCGCCTCCTCCGCTGCCGCCTCTGCTGCTGCCACCTCCTCCGCCGCCTCCTCCTCCCGCCCTGCCGCCGCCACCTCCGCTACCTCCTCCGCCTCCGCCATCGGCGCCTCCTCCAACGGCCCCGCCTCCTCCGCCTCCTCCGCCTCCGCCTCCTCCGCCTCCGCCTCCGCCTCCGCCTCCTCCGCCTCCGCCTCCGCCTCCTCCGCCGCCGCCTCCGCCTCCTCCGCCGCCGCAGCCAAAGCGCCCGGCTGGTGCGCCTGTTCACAGCCAGACCCGTGAAAGCGCGCTGTTCGCAGCAAGCGCTCCACAGCACGGACCGGCGGACCATCGTAAAATCGATCCGACCCCTCTCGGCGGCCGTAGCCCTCGAAGCCACAACCTCCTCCCTCCCGCCGCCGTCCGTGCCGCTCCCCCCGCCCCTACCGCCCCCACCGCCGCCCCCACCGCCGCCCGCGCCGCCTCCGCCGCCGGTGGTGCCCCCGCCGCTGCCCGCACCGCTCGCACCGTCGCCGACTGCGCTGCCCGCGCCTCGCTCCCCGCCGCCAGCCCTCCCCCCACTGCGGCGGACTACGCCGCTTCTGCCGCCTCCGCCGCCACTCACGCCGCTCCCGCCGCCCGCTCTGCCGCATGCGCCGCCGCCTTCGACAGTGCCTGCTCTTCTCGAGACGGCCACGACGCTCCCTGGCACTGGGCTCAAACCACCGCCACTGCTGCCGCCTCCGCCGCCTCCGCCGCCAACGCTACCGCCGCCGCCTACATCACTGCCTCCGCCGCCACTTCCGCCGCCACTGCCACCGCCACCCCCGCCGTGACCGCCACCTCCGCCTCCGCCCAGCCACGCGGCAGCGGCGGCGGCCGCCTCTGCCCTCGCCGCCGCCGCCTTGGCCGCTGCATGGCGCGGGAGGCGACCGCCCTGCCCCGAAGCCAGCTGCTGCTGCTGCTGCTGCTGTTGCTGCTGCTGCTGCTGCTGCTGCTGCTGCTGCGGCTGCTGCGGCGGCTGCTGCTGCTGCTGCTGCTGTTGCTGCTGCGAGCCTCGTCGGCTGCCGAGTGCCTCTTCGCCCGCCGGGGTCTGCAGAGGGCAGGGGTTTGGGTTCGGCGCAGCAAGTGGTCTAGTGTGGTGCTTGTGTGGTGGCGGACCTTGGGCAGAGGTGAGCTGCCGGCAGAACGGCAGGGGCAGAGGCTGCGGCGCGGGGGTTGGGGGCTCACCGCGTAGTTGCCGAGGTTGATGAGCGATGCTCCCTCGTTGAGGTGCGCGCCTACTCACGCTGAGGCCGTGAAGAGCCGCCGTCAACACACCTCCTTCGCGTCACGGTCGAAGGCTGTCTGCGCCCGAGGAGAGCCGCGCCGCCGCCCTGCCCAGTCTCGCGGTGAGGCGGGCGGAGAGGCCGGAGACGGTGTTGGATGGCCCGACTTGGACGTGTTCGAGCGGCGCCGAGAACAGGTCGGAGCGGGATGCGGGCGGAGGAGGAGGGCTGAGCAGCCCAGCGCTGGGTGCCTGCGGCCCACTAGACGGCATCGCTCTCCGGCGCAGCGCAGGCAGCACGCGGGCAGCGTTGAGGAGGACGAGGGCGACTGCGAAGGCACCGCATACCCTAAGGCTCCGGCTGCGCAGCCGCTGCGCCGTCGGCGCTGGTGGCGGCTGAGGCAGCGGCCGCCTGGCGAGCGACATCACCATGCGCTCGCCCGGCTCGAGGTCGCGCGCCTTGGCCTCGTCAGATGGGTGCCACCGCGTCCGCCGCGGTCGCGGCATATACGCGGGAGCGGCGGACCGAGAGCCTCCTCGTCTCGGCCCCCTGCACACTTTCCCAAGTGCAGTGTATCTGCGCCCGAGGCGGCCCTCGCTCTCGCTCCGTGAAATCGGCCGACCACACGACTGCGACGGCGGGCACCAACAAAAGAATTTATCCAGCGCAACTCTCTCTCACAGCACACAGGCTCGACACAGGTGCGAACTGGCGCGTGCTAGCCAACAAAAGAATTCGAGAAAATCATCTCCTGCGACACAGGTTCAACAAAAGAATTTTAGCGTATGCCTCGCACGACACTGGGCACCGTCCTCCCATCCCTCCCTTGGGTTGTCTGTTTTCTTTCTTTCTTTCTCTGGGCACGGGACGATCCTGGGAGCCAGGGTGAGACAACAGGTCGGGGTGTCACAGGGAGCACACCAAAGGCGTATTCATATTCTAGAGGGGAATGAGCAATGATAAGGCCGCGAGCTATGCAGGCGGTCAGTTGAGTAGCATGTGGCACGGTCAGCAGCGCCGAAAGGTGGAAAGGATGTCGCAGGCGCCCCAAGCGGCGCGGAGCGCCGCCGTAGGCGGCGGACAACAGGTGCGCAAAATTAAACGCCATTTTTTGGTTCCGCGGTTTTGCCACTAACATTGAAATCCGGTACAAATCGACTCACGAGCCGAAACAGCTGACAGACAGACCGAGAGAGCACACACGTTCGAGACGGGGGTGCGCCGACCGCCATCGCGGACCCAGTAGAGCTAGATGGTCCCACAGGACGCGCCCTTGGCCTCTGAGCTCGTCCTAGACGTTTTAGGGAAGCGTGGGCAGACCAGAACGCGGCCACGGCGACGCTCCGAGGCTGTCAGCAGCGCTGACGGCGATCGTGGCGACGGCACCTCGCCGCTGCAGCGTCACAGAAGCGAGGAGGTGGCCGCGGTGGCAGCATCAATGAGGACGAAGGCGGCCGTAATGCTGGTGGCGCCTTCGAGGGCGGCGGAGAGGGCGGTAGTAGCGACGGCGATCGAGTCATGTGGAGGGTGGGGTGGCCCCCCTAACGTTAGCTATACTGTTGTTGGGGAGCCCAGCACAAGCACAACTGTTCGTCTTGCGCAGCAAAACTGGCCCCAGGTTTTTGGGCTTCGGTTTCGTCGCACTGCATAGGTTTCATTTTCATGGTCGGCCGTCCTAGGACGTACGTCATTTCCGGTCTCGATTTCGGTTCTCGCGTGTATCTCCGCGCAATGGGAGTTAGCGCGCTCGCTCGCAGAGCGGCGCCTGCTAGCCGAGCGCGAATGCCTGGGTCGCTGAGCTCGCGCCGGTGGCCAACTGCGCCTCCGTGGCGACGCGCTCCGGCCACGAGCGACGTGCCGATCTGCACTTTGAGCTCGCTGGGCAGCCGCCGAGTGCGAGAGGAATTTAAACGGCCGAGCCGGCCAGGCAGCCCAGGCGACTTCCCGCACCGGTCCGCGCACGTGCGGCCGCGCGTGTACGGGGCGTACACGCGCGGCCGCACATGCTCCGCCTCGACGGCCGCCTCGCGCTCGTTCGAGGTCTGCTCCGCCCGAGCAGCGAGCTCTCAGGTGCGGGCTCTCGGGGCGCCGACCAGCCTGGTAGGGAGGAAGGTCGAGCGCGACGCCGCGGAGCCAGGGCAGCGCGGCCGGGGCTGGGACCGTGAGCGGCGATCGCGCTCCGAGTCGCCCAGCGACGGCAAGGCAGGACCACCTTGTGACGGTGCCCTGGCAAAATCGTCCCGATTTCGATGCGCGATTTAGCTAAGTCCCAGAGCCGTTTACGCATGAGCGGGCCCCCTCACCAGCCTAGGGCTCGCGCTTCTGGCCCGAGGTGTCGCCGCTGCCTCCCGCGCCCTCCGGCGCCTGCTGCTACTGCCGGTCGGCCGGTCGGGTCCGCGCGACGGCTCCATCCTCGAGACGTAGCGGTCGCTGAGCGCTTTCTCGACCGCTACGTCTTCCAGTGTACCCACCCACCGCGACCCTCGAACCTGCGCTGCGCGGCGCAGTTGCTGCCGAGCGAGACGCCCCCGCCCGCGCAGGGGCGGCATCACCAGACGCTACCGCATGGCCGAGCAGCGAGCAGTGTGTGCCGCAGTGCCCGTCCGGGCCCTCTTGCAGCTGCCTCTATTGGGCGTAAACCGCGGATATAAGGGTCTATACGGAGGTGGGTGGCCTCTTAGAGGTATGGGAGCCGCTGGCACCGCGCTGGGCGCCGCGGATGCACGTACGAACGAACATTATGAAATCGGGACGATTTTGACCCAAAAATCACAAGGTGGACGCGCGACGGCCGTTGAGCGGAGGGCTGGCGAGCAAAAAGAGGCGCCTCCGGGCGCAAACTTCAGAGGGACTCTTATGAGTTATGCTCTGCGACGAAACCAATTCGTGCTATGAGTTTTCACGATCAGTTTGGGTATACCCCCGAGCCCAAAAACCTGGGGCCAGTTTTGCTGCGCTTGACAACTCTGTTGTTCTGTTGACTGTGTTGTTACTGTTAACACTAGCAACACTGTTCAGCTCTTAACGTTTGATAGCTCTACACAGCCTACTCCATATACTGGTCCATCAGTACAGACTTTCTCTCAGACTAGTGACTACGATCTACGTACAGTATCAGTAAAAGTCTCCGAATAGTGGGGGAAATGGCTCAGTGTGCCAATAAATTTTTTCCGGGCCGCTCTTCCGGGCCGGTATGCACCAAAAGTGTTCGGTAGACCAGCCTCTCGGTACACGCCACGGCCCCGGGCTAGGCCCGATGCGTCCGCTACCACGCTCCAAACATGCGCACCGTCCTGCTGCAGGTCGCCATCAAGGAGCCGTCCTCGTCGTGTACGTCGTGCTGCCGTCGCGTGTACCGAGATGCCTCGCAACCGAGGCCTCGGCCGAACGGGCAAGAAGCATAAGAAATCAGCCAACGACAACATCCACAGGCAGCCCAAGGCGACCACCGAGCCCACGGTCGCCACCGAGGCGCCGGAGCCGCCCGCCGCGCCCGACACCTCGCCGAAAATGGAGGTCGAGCCGGCAGCGCCCGACGCGCAGGCGCTCGCGACAGGTGCGGCTGCTCGGCGACGTCGAGCGTGGTGCCCGACGGCTCAGGAGCCTTCTACCATAAACCACTACCACGGCTGCCACCGTCGGCGCCTTCGCTCGAGCTCTCCGAGGCCGCGTTCTGACCTCGTGCCGCGGCTGTTGTCGCTACAGCAGCGACGAGGGCCGCGGCAAGGGGTGCAGCGGCGACGGGGGGGGGGGAGAGGCGCGGCCAGCTACCGGGTCGTTGCCCCCGCCCACCGCGCCGGGCCCCTGCACCCGGAGGCGGCTTGCGGCAGCCTTCCTGTGTCTCCGTGCGACCCGCTTGGGTAGCCGGCCATGTGTGGCCCGCTGCCGGAAAAAATCCGGGGTTTAGCTGGCGTATCTCGGGCCCACTTTAGAGCTAGGGCATGATCTTAGGTGTTCTGGATAGCCCACAAGGGTCTTCTTTGGCATGGTAGCGGTGGTTTTGCGCGAGGCGTTCATTCAAAAATCACCATTTCCCCCACTACTCCGAAACGGCTTTATTTAAAGAATCCACTCGCAGCGGGGAGAACATAAAAAATGCAAGGCTCACTGCCCCGGTTCCGCATCAGCGCTTCCGCTCCGGTCACACGTGGTCCTGCGGCGACTTCACCAGCCGACACCGCTCCCCCTCGCAGCAGTCTGACTCGGCTGCGGCGGCGGCGCGGTCCGCCTCCTCCTCCGCCTCCGCCTCCGCGATCGGCCGCCGCGCCACGCCGCGCGACTCGAGGAGCGAACGCACCCGCCCCTCATCCCAACCCTGGCAGCCGTCCAGCTTGACCATGTGCGGGCAGCCGGGCGCGGGGACGCCGAACAGGAGGAAGGTTGGCATCGCGCGCACCTGCAGAGGAGCAGGAGGCCGCCCGTCAGCCCTCGTCGCAGCGTCCACCAGCCTGTCACCAGCGGCGCCTGCAGCGAGGCCGCCAGATCGCGCGCGGCGTCGACGTCCAGCTTGGCAAAGCGGCAGCCGGCGTACTGGTAGCTCATCCGGGCAAAGGCGGGCGCCGCCGTGCGGCAGGGCGGGCACCACGTCGCGTAGCAGTCTATCAGCACCCGCTCGCCTGCGGCGGCGGCGGCGGCGAGGAGGCTCTCCCACTCCTGCGCGCTTCGGACGGTGGTCACCTGCGGAGCCGGTTGACGGTGAGAGGGCGCACCGCCAGCGGCGGTCGTGGGCAGGCAGCAGCCGTGACGCGCCTTGCCGCCGCAATCAGGGAAGGGCCTGCGGCCCATCAGGCAGCGTCCGACAACGCATGCGACGACCTGGACACAGCACCAGGCGGCGACGGCGACAGCGGCCCACCAGAGGAGGGGGTGCATTTGCACGGGATGACGACGAGGAAGAACGCGCCGTGCACGGGGGCAGGGCTTTGTGACTCTCCGAGAGAGAAAGAAAAAATTAGCTATTACAAGGGGGGGATGGGAGACCTCGACCGAAGCGAATTTCTTTTTTCGCCTTCGACGTGTGTGTCTATGCGTTGGCTCCGCTCACGGCCGGCAACTCCCGAGCTGTGCGACCCTCCAGCCGCTACTGGCGCCCTCGACGGCGCGTGCGATCCCTCTGCCGAAGCTGCTGGTGCCATGCCTGCGGCGGTGGCCGGACAATTAGCAGAAAAGATGCCTGAGGAGGAGGAGCGGCACCGGCTCGCACTAGCGCACCTCGGTTCCCTCCAGCGGCGCAAGACGACAGCGAGCTCTCGCGACCCCCGCCTCGCGTCCCGCTTGAGCCCTCTCCATACCCGTCTCAGGCGAGTCGCTTCGGACCTCTCGCCGCTGTCCGAGTCGGAGCAACGCTTCCTCTCCGAGGAGACGCTGCTCCGCTACCTGCGCGCGCGAGACGGCGACGAGCAGCGCTCCTCTATTGCGTCAGGGAGCACACTTCCACGACACGTCCACCACACGTCAACAGGGAACGAGCAGCTCGCCTTCATCATGCTCGAGGCGACGCTGGCGTGGCGGCGGCGACACATTGCTCCCGCCTGCGGGGAGGGAGGAGGGCTGCCGCGCTGCGAGGCCTGCGAGGCGAGAGTAGCAGAGATGCCGCGCCGAGATGTGCCGGCGGGCTGGCCATCGGGCTGCATTTGAGCTCTTCACGGCTCCAGACTGCCTGTGGTCAGGCGGACCCACGCTCGCACTGCTTCATGCGCGTGGGGGACGACTCGCGCGGGCTGCCCGTCGTCTACTCCGCCGCCGGGCGCGCCTCAGACAAGACCGTGCGAGACAACTGCATGCACATGGCCTTCGAGCTCGAGCGACTCTTTGACGGAGGCGCGGCAGCGGGCAGGTATGTCTGGATCATCGACTTTCGCGGGTTTGGGATGAGAGGATCACAGCCTCCTCGGCGCCCGCCGTGCAGGATGCCGGCGACCTAATAAGATGACAATTCGTTGAGTAGACATGAACCCGCGCATGGGCTCGACCGCGCTGCCGATGTTTGCGAACCACTTCCCGGAGCGGCTGGCAGAGATCGTGCTCCTCGACCCGCCGCGACTCTTCCACGCCCTCTACCGCACCCTCGAGCCTCTCATCGACCCGGTGACCAAGCGGAAGATCTGCGTCGTGCGCGGCGAGGCGGCGCGGCAGAGGCACTCGGCGCTGCGGTGGCAGTCCGACCCGCCCATGGCTGCGTGGCTCGAGGCGGTGGCGAGCCAGTGCCGCGGCCAGCCCGGTGCCTTCCCCCCGGCGAGCCTCAGCGACGCGCTGTCCGACAGGAGCACGCGAGAGGTGCTCGCGGCCGTGCGGAAGGCGAGCTCCCAAGGGGGCGGCTGAGTGGCGCATAGGAGGGGAAACCAAGAGACAAAGGCGAAAAAACAACGCAAGGGAGGGATGGGAGGCCACGGCTAGGGTGCCCACAGGACCCAAAAGAAAATAGCTTTCCGGCTCAAAAAGGGACGCACGAGGCAAATCTGATGTTGGATTGTTCCAATAGGAGAGAGGCCTCTTCCGTTGGGGGACCGAGTTCATAGGAAACGAGGGTTTCCCATTGTGACCCGCTCCAGCGCGAGCGTGACACTGCACTTGGCGCCGAGCGCCCGCGGCTCAGACCTTGTGCAGGCCTACCCTCGGTGGGAGCACCGGTCCGGACCGATGGCGCTCGGTGTGGAGCAAGCAAGACCCCCCCCCCCCCCATCGGCGCGCGCTCGCCATTCCAACGGCCGCCAGGAGCACCAAGAGGACTCCTCATGGCTGCTCCCAAGTGGGCTTCGACCGGCCTCCAGGGTTCGTGATTTCACATGGAAACAGCGAATCGGTTTCACTTTCACTTTCACTTCACATTTCATGTGAAACAAAATTTCACTTTTTCGAGCGAGTGTGAAGAGTCGTGTGAACGTGAATGATGACGGATGCTCCCACCGAGTTCCGACCACTCTGACACTCACTTGCACAGGTGATGGCTCCCAAGCAGCAGCCAAGATGAAGGAGGCTGGAGATATTGGTCTCGCTGAGCTGATGTGTACACTAGACCTATATGAATCTCATGGCATGCTGTGGGCGAATACGGTGCTGATGGTGGGATGAACTCTCTCAGCAGTCGAGAGTCGACTCTCGACGCATCGGGAGGGCGGCCGCGGCGGTGTAGGGGCGGCGGCGAGCTCCCGGTTGCAAATACTCGCCTCACAGTCCAAGATGGCGGCTCGCGCCCCCATCCGCGCACCAGCGTGCCACTCTAGCCCCGCCTGCCGCCCAGATACCGAGGGCGGGGCGCACTCTTCGACTTGGGCTATTATTTGCCACCGGGAGGGCGGCCGCGGCGGTGTAGGGGCGGCGGCGAGCTCCCGGTTGCAAATACTCGCCTCACAGTCCAAGATGGCGGCTCGCGCCCCCATCCGCGCACCAGCGTGCCACTCTAGCCCCGCCTGCCGCCCAGATACCGAGGGCGGGGCGCACTCTTCGACTTGGGCTATTATTTGCCACCGGGAGGGCGGCCGCGGCGGTGTAGGGGCGGTGGCGAGCTCCCGGTTGCAAATACTCGCCTCACAGTCCAAGATGGCGGCTCGCGCCCCCATCCGCGCACCAGCGTGCCACTCTAGCCCCGCCTGCCGCCCAGATACCGAGGGCGGGGCGCATTCTTCGACTTGGGCTATTATTTGCCACCGGGAGGGCGGCGGCGGCGGTGTAGGGGCGGCGGCGAGCTCCCGGTTGCAAATACTCGCCTCACAGTCCAAGATGGCGGCTCGCGCCCCCATCCGCGCACCAGCGTGCCTCTCTAGCCCCGCCTGCCGCCCAGATACCGAGGGCGGGGCGCACTCTTCGACTTGGGCTATTATTTGCCACCGGGAGGGCGGCCGCGGCGGTGTAGGGGCGGCGGCGAGCTCCCGGTTGCAAATACTCGCCTCACAGTCCAAGATGGCGGCTCGCGCCCCCATCCGCGCACCAGCGTGCCACCCTAGCCCCGCCTGCCGCCCAGATACCGAGGGCGGGGCGCACTCTTCGACTTGGGCTATTATTTGCCACCGGGAGGGCGGCCGCGGCGGTGTAGGGGCGGCGGCGAGCTCCCGGTTGCAAATACTCGCCTCACAGTCCAAGATGGCGGCTCGCCCCCCCATCCGTGCACCAGCGTGCCTCTCTAGTCCCGCCTGCCGCCCAGATACCGAGGGCGGGGCGCACTCTTCGACTTGGGCTATTATTTGCCACCGGGAGGGCGGCGGCGGCGGTGTAGGGGCGGCGGCGAGCTCCCGGTTGCAAATACTCGCCTCACAGTCCAAGATGGCGGCTCGCGCCCCCAAGCATCCATGCTCTGATGTGTCGCTTGGGTCGCCTCTGCTGCTGTGTCTCTGTCTTAGCCAGATATCGAGAGCGCGCGACGACAACCAACCCCTTACCCTAACCCTAATCCTAACCCTAACCCTAACCCTAACCCTAACCCTAACCCTAGCCCGAAGAACCCAAAGCATTCACCGAGAGCTCGTGTCGACGGACCGCTGATTCCTCCATTTGGTTTCGGCCCAAACCGGACCATTCTCTTAGGAGCTGCACAACGGCTTGAACGCTCTCTGACCCTAACCCTAACCCTAATTCTAACCCTAACCCTAACCCTAATCCTAACGACACGGTGCTTCTTAAGAGGTCGTGCGCGTCGCTGCCGACGCATCTCGCGTGTATGGTGTATTTGCAGTGTATTTCGGCGGGGGCGCGCATTAAAAGAACATTGAGGCAACACACACGTCCTCGAGCGCCCGAGGACACGAACCAAGCTGCACCTCCTCTCGCTAGAGTTATTGTGGGCTCTTTCCTTTCTACACTTCCTTGCTTTCACCGCGTTTTGATGCAGTGAGGGCGGGCCCCTGCTCTTTGAGCCTTGGGGACGACCACGGCCTTGACCACGGCCTCGCTGCAGGGAAGCAGGAACGCGCGGCATTGGTGGCACAGAGATCCCTACCGGTGCCGGCAGTGGTAGGCGCACCGCCGCTCTCTCCGCTGTGCCGCCTCCGCCGCTGCCGCCTCGAAACCGGTTTCGACTGCTGCCGCCTCCGCCGCTGCCGCCTCGGAGATGCCAGAGCCTTCGAAAGTAGTCGAACTTGTGAAATTTTCAGTGAAACGGGGGCGGCCGAAACGTTTCATGTGAAATTCACATGAATTCACATGTGAAAGTGAAAGTGTGAAAATTCACTCACGAACCCTGCCGGCCTCGACTGGGGGGGCGGGTTGTCCCGGCTGCGGACGCGTTCTGCAGCCCCCTGGGCGTGGGTCAGCACCCCAAAACTGCCCCTCGGCGGCATACAGCACTGCCAGCCAGCCTCTTCCTCCTCCTCAAGGGCTGTACTATAGGCCATATTGCGCCGCCTCCTACTGGCAGCCGGGCGGGCGCGCGCCGCGGGCGCCTCGGCGCGCGCACGGCTCGCAAAGTTCGAACGAGTACTGCCGCCCGGCCGCTTCGAGGCTGCCGGGCGGCAGTACTCGCCTCACAAGGCGCGCACCGGCTGCTCTGGCTGCTGCGCCGGCGGCCGCTGCGCTGGCCGCTGCTGCGCCGGCTGGCGGGCGGTACGGCCGCCGGCGGCCGCTGCACCCGCGCCTTCCCTCGCGGGCGCCGTCGCGCCGCGCGCGCCCAACTCTACTGGCACACGGCACGCGTCGTCACACAGCCGCGGAGAATAGGCGGTGCAGCGCGCGAAGCGCGCGCGATCTCGTACTCTTAAGGCCGGATCCGGCCATTCCAAGGGTATACCTTTGAGAATCCCCAGCGTCCCACCCTCCTAGTCACACTCTCAATATCTCGACTCTCCAACACGAAGTGCTGCGATCGGGAGCGGCCCATTTCTTTTTTCCTTTCTTTTTTTGGGTCCTGTGGGCACCCTACCACGGCACGCCGCCACACCACACAGGGATTTTAACGCGGAAGGCAATATAAATTTGTGTAAAATTCTTTTTTGAGAGCGCCTTCGTTGACGTTGTTAATAATAATACAGACGGATGGTCTCGTTTGGATTGCTAAAAATCTCTCTCATGGTCTCTCTCTCACTTGGACTTGCTGTAGCCACATGAGTCATGACACGCACACACCCGCACGCGTCCGCAGCGCCGCACCGCACCGCGCACGCAGCCGATTCTTTTTTGCTACATCCGCCGAACAAAGCCGGCGCGCGCAGGAAGAGCGCATAATACACATATGCACTTCAGCGGCCACTCCTACACCAAGCAGCTCGACGATGACGTCGCGCCGGTCGCGGAGGGCATCCCGGTTGTCGTCGCGCTCTCTCCTGCTGAGGCGGTCCGGCTCCCGGTTGGAGCGCAGGCCGGCCGGCTGGAGCGGGTCTATCTTGGCCTCGGCTGGTGAGGGCAAGCCCGCGCTCACTCCCGCCTCCCAAGCCTCTCACATTCACGCCACTACCTCAGGCGGGACGCGCCTGGCATCGCCTCGCCGGTCGACCTCGACTGCTCCGTGGTCGGGTACGAGGCGGGAGGCTCGCGGGACGAGGGCAGCACCATCTGGTATGGCCGGCTGCGCAACGGCGAGCACCGCGCCATGGCGGGCGCCTCCTCCATCGTGCACACGGGCGACATCCTCACTGGCCAGCGAGGGGCGGGCGGGCTGGTGGACCAGGAGCGGATCTACATCTGGCTCCCGCAGCTGCCCGACCGCATCGCTGCGCTTGCGGTCGCCGCTGACGTGTACACTGCAGGCATCTCCTTCTACTCATTGTCCGAGGCATATGTCCGGCTCGTCAACGCGGACACTGAGCAGGAGCTTGCCCGGCTCACCCTCACCTCGCGCCACCTCGGGGACGCGGCGGAGGGCCGGGTGATGCTGCTGGCACGGCTGCGCCGCCTCGCGGACGCGGCGTGGTCTCTCGACGCAACGGCGGAGCCGCGACAGAGCACGCTCCGGGAGGAGTCGCACATGCCGCCGGCGCAAGCGGCGGCGGTGCCGCCGGCGGCGGCGGTGGCAGTTGCGGCGGCGGTGGCAGAAGCCACTCCGGTTGCGGTGGCGACAGCGGTGGCGGCGCCGCCGAAGCTGGCAGCGGCGGAGGCGACGGGAGCTGGCGGCTCTGCTGTCCGTGGCGGTGGCGGTGGAGGAGGGGGGGGGGGAGGGTCGTTCTTGTGCCCCGCCCTCGCTGTCGGCACTGCTGCTGGCGTCGCCGCCGCCACCGCAATCTTCACCGCGCCGCAGCTGGACATGGCGCCGAGATGCTGAGAGCGTGCGAGATCACCGAGATCGTGCGAGACTTCCCCAAGACTGCGACCTCTCAGGCGATGCTCGAGCCGTCTCTCTTCTCGTCTGGCGTGGACTACTCGGTGCGAGAGATGAGAGATATGTGCGAGAGATCGCGCCGAGAGCGCGAGAGATCGCGCCGAGAGCGCGAGGCCGCGGAGGGAGCGTACATGGAGGTTGCCGTGCCCCCACCCCGCCCGCCCGCCTTGCCTCCCGCAGGCGTGCGTCCCTGCCGACGACGTTCTCTCGGGCGGCGCCTTTGACCTGCTGCCTGGCGGGACGCTGCCCGACGCATCCCTCGCCGACGCTTCGCTGCCCGACGCTTCGCTGCCCGACGTCGGCGGCGCGGGGGACGCTGTTGGCAGCGGCTTTGACAGCGGCTTTGGCGCGGACGGCCTGGACTCCGCAGGCTTGGAGATGGGCGGCGGTACTTGGGCGGCGGAGTGACATCGGCTTGGAAGCAGCGGTGACACAGCACCGAAATTGACGCTGAATAGGTGACTTTGGTTTGCCAGAGGTCGACGCAGGCGATTGTGATCTCGGCAGCGTGTGCGATGCGCTCTGCCAGTGCTTGGGCAGCGCGATCGCAGATTGCTGAACCCGATGGTCTCTGCTATTGCTCGCGACATCGCTAAGAAGTCGGCGACATCTACCGCGCGGCGTGTGTGCGCGCTTAGTCTATGTAATATGTGAAGCGGTACGCGGTACGGCGGCTCAGAGGGTTTGGAGGGACTAGGTCCTCGGTTGACCGGTTGTGACATTGGCGATTCCGCGGCTTAATCGTTATACGTTAATGCATAATGGGCGGCGGCCCCCCCGGCGGCCCCCGCTCCTCCCTCTCTCTTGTCTGACCAGAGGAGCATTGGCTCACTCGTTCGCAAGCAAAAAGAGAGGTAAGCGCGCGACGTACGCCGACCCACCCCCGACCCCTCCCGACTCTGCCCCCCCCCCTACCCCCGCCGCTCCGCGCGCCGCGTAGCGGCGCGCAAGTCCTTGCCCCCATAACGCAGGAGCCCGCCCCCCGCCCCAAGGCCTCGCAACGATTAGTCGGCCTCGTCGCAGCCCTCCGGCCCTCACGGTCGCAACGCGGGGTGCTGCGCCGCCCCAGATGCCGCCCATAACGCGGCACGGCAAGAGGCAGCAGCAGCACGGCGCGGGGCCAATTTCTTCTGCCGGCGCCGTGCCGGCAACGGAGCGGCACCCGTTCGCCAAACCCTCCGCGGCGTCCGCCCAGCTCCTCCACGACGACGGTGGGCTTGTGCTCAACATCCTCTGCGCCCTCGATGCCACTAGCCTCGCCCGCATGTGCTGCGTGTGCCAAGCGTGGGCGTCTGCCGAGGTGGAGAACCGGCGGGTGCTCTGGCGCACGTTGTGCCTGCAGCGGTGGCCGGACCTTGGCGAGGGCCTCGCGGTGGACTGGCGCAGGAGGTACCGCGTGCTCTCGCGCGACGGCCAGCCGCTCAGCCAGGAGAAGGTCGAGGACCCGCTGGCGGACTTTTCCTTTGTGGTGCAGGGGCGGTGGGGCGCCGATGCTCCGGTGGCCTTCTCCACGGTGGTCCGCGCGGGGCGGTACTCGGCCAACGTGTCGATGCACGGCAACGAGCTTGAGTTCCGCGACGCCTTCCAGCTCGAGGCAGCCTTCAGCGCCCCAGTCCCGCTGCCCGCGAGCTGGACCGCATCTGGGCCCAGCGCCGACCGTCTCGACGTCTCCATCCTTGTGCGCAGCCGCACAGACGACACCGTCGCGCACCTAATCTCCTTCTCGGTCGACAAGCGAACGATCGCCGCGCCGCTTGCCGGCGCGCGCAACGACCCCTCCGGACGATTCAGCATCGTGGCCGACACCTTCAACTTCCCCACCGCCGCCGGCTGCGGCGGACTGTTCACCGATGGGGAGGGCAAGCGGCGGCGCACGCAGGCGCCGTGGCTCACGAACATGATCGACACCTTCCCCGCCGGGCTGGAGGAGCTGATCACGGGCGTCCGCCTCGAGGTGTCGCCGCTGATGCTGCACCTGGCCGTCGAGCCGCAGCTCGGCCCCGAGCCGCACCTGCGCGGCATGCGCTTGGGCTTTGGGATGATCGTCGAGTTCGCAGACGGCGTCATGCAGACCCTCGACGGAGCGCTGCCGCTGTGCGTCAAGGATGTGCCCGCGACGTTTGAGCATCTCGACTGGGTCTGACGCGCCACCGACCACGCACCACGCGGGGGCTGCGTGGCGTGGGTGGGTCTGCGGAGAGAGGGCGTCGCACTCCGCGAGGCGCGCTTGCACCGCATGCGCTGAACTCGTCGGTACTACCGGCCCCTCATCACGCATCGCCTCCCCCTGACCCTTGTGGCGTTGGCGCGTGTGTCCGCGCACGACGTGTTTCTGTGAGCTTCTGGGGCTGCAAACCGGCGTTCTGCCCTCAAAGAAAGAAGAAAGAACTAAGAAGAGTGACAGGAGGAGAGACCCTGAGGCTGAGCAGCTCGGGGGGGAGAGTCGAGAGATTCTCCCCGCCTATGGCTTGGCCTATGCAACGCCCCAGCTATAGCCTATAGGGGCTGCCAAGTGCCATGGTCGCCGAAGGCGAAGCTGTGCACCTAGGCATAACTCCCAAACCCGCAGGGGGCCGCAGCCCGCACACGAGAGGGCCGAAAAAAAGGGAGAAGAGGAATGGGGGGAAAGAGAAAGTGTCACTCCCCTCTCTCCCGGCCGGGGTGGGGCGCGCGCGGGGGCGGCGGGTGTGCGGCGAGTGTGCGGGATGTCTGTGGGCCCGAGAGCGATATGCCATGTCCGCCTTGCGTTGTTTCATAACATCGAAGGCTAAGCTCAAAGAGAAAGGAAACTGGGGGTGGCGCCAGGGCAGCTCGCGGTCGCGCCGACTCGTCGTGTCCCATCGTCACTGTGTTGACCATTCGTCAACATTTCGCGAATATGAAGGCGGTCAAGAAGGTCCTCCCCGCGCAGCGGCCTCACTGGGTCGGCAACGGTTTCCACGTCTTCCCGGTGTTTGCGCACTACGCCTTCTCGAACGAGCTCTCTCCGTGGCTCATGTTTGACTATGCCGCGCCAAAGCACTTTGAGCCGACGGCAAAGCGGCTCGGCGTCGGACAGCACCCGCACCGTGGCTTTGAGACGGTGACCATCGCGTGGCAGGGCGAGGTCGAGCACTCCGACTCGGTGGGCAACAATGATGTCATTGGCGCTGGAGACGTGCAGTGGATGACGGCGGGGAGAGGCGCGACATTCGCAAGCCGAGTGTGATGTGTGCATCTCACTTGGCGGCGCGTGCTACGTCAGGCATCATACACGAGGAGTTCCACTCCACGGCCTTCGCGCGGGCGGGAGGCACCTTCGAGATGGCGCAGCCTCGCCGCATCGGCCTGCCTCCCTTTCATGGCCCCGCCTCTTCACACTCGCGCGGGCGGTCCACAGGCGCAGCTGTGGATCAACCTGCCCCAGGCGCAAAAGATGCACGCGCCGCGCTACCAGCCCCTCCTCGCCTCGCGCATCCCGACCGTGCCTCTCTCGGCGGCGGGCGAGTGCAGCGACGCCGCCTCCTCGCCGGCCGGCAAAGCGAGGGTCATCGCCGGCACGCTGGACGGCACGCACCGCCGAGATACAGCCGAGAGACAGCCGAGATACAGCCGAGATACAGCCGAGGTGCAGCTGAGAGAAAGGGTGAGCAGGCACCTCAGGGCCACAGACCTTCTCTCTATCTCCGCTCTATCTCCGCTGCAGCTCGGCTGCAGCTCGGCTGTAGCTCGGCTGTAGCTCGGTTTTCTCGGCTGCAACTCGGCTGTAGCTCGGCAATTGATCAACTAGGCACCACCGGGCCCGCGCAGACCTTCTCTCCCGCAGAGCTCTGGGACATCGAGCTGACGGCACCGCACAGGCAGCCCGAGAGGAGAGGGTTTGGGTTAGGATTAGGGTTAGGATTAGGGTCAGGGTTAGGGTTGGTGTTAGGGTTAGGGTTAGGCACCGCACAGGCAGCCCCGAGAGGAGACGTAGAACAACAACAAGAAGTATGCACATTCACATTGTGCCGACGGCGCCGTCAGAGATGCAGCCGAGATGCAGCAGAGACACAGACCCCCTCCCGCCTCCTCCCAGGCCGGTCGAGCTCGCCTTGCCGGAGGGCCACAACGCGATCGTATTCGTGCGGCGCGGCGGGGTGCGGGTCGGCGCCGAGGGCCAGGCGGGGGAGAGGGAGAGAGAGAGAGAGAGAGAGAGAGAGAGAGAGAGAGAGAGAGAGAGAGAGAGAGAGAGAGAGAGAGAGAGAGAGAGAGAGAGAGAGAGAGAGAGAGAGAGAGAGAGAGAAGGGAGAGAGAGCCGAGCTGCTGAGGAGGAGGAGGTTGCCTCTCTTCACAGCCGCAGCTGTGAGCAGGAGGAGGAGGTGGGGCCTCAGGCGGTCGCACTGATGCAGCGGGAGGGACGCACGCTGCGGCTGGCCGCCACGGAGGCAGGCTCGCAGCTGCTGCTGCTCGGCGGTGCGCCGCTCGACCCGCCCTCTCCCTCCCTCCTTGTCCGATCACAGCTCCCTCCCTCTCTCCCTCTCCCCCTCTCTCTCTTTAGGTGCGCCGCTCGACGAGCCCATCGCCGCGCGAGGCCCTTTTGTGATGAACACGGACGCCGAGATCGCGCAGGCGAATGCCGATTTCCGCTCGGGAAAGATGGGCCGCTGATGGCGCCTGTGAACCCACTTTGGGCGGTCTACAGATGCGGGACTGGTGACGGGAGGAGGCAGCCTGTCCGCAACTAGCGCCGCCCCCCCCCCTCCCTCTTGCGTCCACAGACTCATCGTTTCTTCCCAGTGAGCCACAGTTGACAGTTCTGCTGCGCGCGAATTGGTTGTCCACTAGCTCTGCCTCATGAGTCATGTGGTGGAGCGAGAGTCGGAGAGTCGGAGAGAGTTGACGACCTTGTGCGGACGCCCCCGCGACATGTCGGCGGTCGGGTCGCGTCTGGTGTGTCCTCTCTTCCTGTACCTTTGCAGGCCATCTGTGATCTGTGATCTGATTTAAACTTGCTATTTGGGTCCCAGCCCTTTTGGAGCACTTGCTGTGGAGTGCAGTCATTAGCCGCACGCCCAGGACCGAGGAGCTAAGAAGCGCCCCAGTTAGCCAGACGATTGGGATCGGGATGCGGGCAAGAGAGCCCTCCTGAAAGAAAGAAAACCGACAACCCAAGGGAGGGATGGGAGTGGCTTCGTTAATTCTTTTTTTGGCGTGACGTTGATGAAGGGCCTAGTTGGTCGCCGTCCAGCTTCTCGCAGAAAACCTCATTAATGGCCGCCCTCTTCGCTCTCGCCCCAGCCTCCTTCCTCCCGGGCTTCGCCGCCCGCGCCACCGTCACCACTCCGCGCGCCGGACCCGCCGTGGCCCACCTCGACAGCCTCTCCTCGCTCCTCTCGGCCGTCCCGTCCGGCTTTGAGTTTGCGGTGCCTCCGGCGCCGCCAAAGTTCTCGCACGCGCTGATGGAGGCCGTGGGCGCGTACATCCTGCTCTCGGGCGCCTGCACCTTTGCGCCCATCCTCAAGCGCAAGCTGGGTGCGAAGGACCCAGCTCTCGCAGTGCTGGCCTCCGTTCCGTCCTCTCGCTTTGGATGGTTGCAGGCAGACCTTCGGCGGCCGCTCCCGCCGCTCGAGGAGCTGACAAGCCACCCGATCGGCGTGCGCGGCGGGCGGACGCTCTACCTCTGTCGCGCGTGCGATGCGCTCCGCTTCTCCACAGTCGAGCGCTCGGCCGACTTTTCGGACTTTTACGGGGAGTCGGTTTACGTTTGCAGCGGGCTCGTCACCAAGGCGCAGGAGGCGTAGGGGTCGTGCGGCCTGCTCCCATCTTCTCCTCGGGCCCCTGAGCTGCGCCGGGGCTTGTACCATAGCGGCGGCGTGCGGCGATGACTTGACTCGCGCCCCCGGACCGTTGCCACTTTCACGTCTCGGCCCCGCCACGCTGTCGTCAGTCGGTGCACTTCCAGTGTGCCATCTAGTCTCCATCTGTCCCGCCAACAGTACAATCGTCAGCGATTCGGTACTACGTTTTTGTGTAGTCTGATGTATCCTGTGTATTCGCGAGAAAAACACGACGCACGCACGTGGCACGACGGACACCCTTGACAACGGCCTTGACGCTTGAGTTTTCGGCTTTTCGCCCCTGTTCCCGGCACGGCGGCACGCGGCGCAGCGGCACCGCTTTTCGCATTTTGCTTTTCGGACCTGAGGGTTGCCCTGTTGCACAGGGACAGGGATTCCGCATGTTTGGGACTGTTTGACTTGTTTGATTTTGTGACAAAGGGCCTTTGAAAGCGAAAGGGCGCGTTTCGCAGGCCTTGTCGGTGTTGTCAACTGTACTCGAGCGCGCTCGAGAGTCTCTGTCGTGTATACTGACCACACTGATCACTGTGACTGAGACGTCTGACTCTGAGACTCTGAGAGAGCCGCCTCGCGCGCGTCGCGAGCAGTCGTCCGCGCAACCGCGAAAAGCGCCGAGACTGCTCGAGCGAGAAGCAATGCGGGGGGCGACGGAGCGGCTCCGCTCTCTCGCAACACACTCGCCGCGCTCTGGGGGCAAACCGGGGCTGACAAGCAAGGGTTCGCTCCCCCTTCACGGTGCGGGAAGGCCAGTGGTGTGGGAAGAGGAGCGCCACGCAAGCGGAGAGGTTGAGGCTGCGAGAGCTTGGCAGCTCGCCATCACCGCCGCCGCGACGCCATGGCCTCCTTCGGAAAGTTCCGCTTCCTCACGCTCATCAAGCCGGTGCTTCACATCCTGCCCGAGGTTGCGCCGCCGGACCGCAAGATCCCCTTCAAGGCGCGCCACAGCCTCGCCGCCCGCAGTCAGTGCTGGGCGCTGACAGAGAGACAGCAATCAAAGGCAGACGTTGCGCGAGTCGCAGTGCGTACGCTGGACAGCACGCGACCTGTGCGAGCTGGCGCGAATTCTAGGGAGGGCTTGAACCTGGAGAGAGACTCTTTCAATCTCGATACCGATCGAGATTGCATAAGGCAAGGGACGTCCGCCGCAATTCGGACAATGTCGAGTCCGACACGCGCCACAAGTGTAATAAATAAATAAAACGGGCACGCCAAACGAGGGGTGGGAGAAGGACAGGGTCCCCATATGGGGCACGAGCAGGATCTTGTAAGGACGATCAGGGACACAGGGGAACGGGAGCGGGGAGCGCATCGCGACACGGAGGGGGGCTGGGCAGGGTTCACCCACACGACAGGGTCCCAGGGATTCCTCTCTCGTATAGGACAGGTTGCACCCGGCGGCACGGGGGCAGGCGCGGGCCTCCTACTGGTTGCGCTCTCCTAGTTCTCCTGCTACTGACAAAAGGGACAGCGACAGGCTCGCAGCACGGTGGACTCCGTGCCCAGTGTTGTGCGAGGGAGTTTTGTTGTAAAATTCTCTTTCTTCAGCACCTCCCCCAACGCATGGTACGGGACTATAGCGCCGACACTAACAGCGACTTGTGCGAGCCACTGAGAGACGATCGGAGGGGTCCCGTACCATGCGGAATCGACCCTATCAAGTTCTCAAGTGCTCAAGATGCGGCGGTGTATGTGACGGTTCGCCCTGCGACAGAGCGAGCTGGGGCGACAGTGCCGGCGATGCTCGGAACGCAGCGTTGGACACAAAGAATAAGCTGGTGGGGTTTTTCTTTTTGACCGCGCAAGATAAAAGGGTGGCTAAGGGCTCTGCCCGCAAGGCGCCCGCGTCGCAGACGCGGTACCATTGACAAATCTGCGATATACCCCCACACGAGCAAATAGCAAAATCCGAATACCGTGCACGAATCCGGCGATGTGGGACCCAAGCCTTCAGCTGGTGCCAAGACGTAAAGTTGAAAGCAGAACGTCCGCCAAATCCGTGCTTTCGGAGCAACTGAGGGAAAGCTCCTGATCGAGCCCAGCGTGCCCGCGGCCGCCTCCCGCGCAGCACCGCCGCTGCGGAATCGGATCGAGCCCATGGAGGAGGAGGGCGCAGTCGGCCAGCGCAGCAGGCGGAGTCCCTCCCCGCGCCGGAGCCCCCCTGCAGTCGAGGGAGTCCTCGTTGGCGATGAAGGTGGCGACATCGAATCGCGGCCGACACACGTCACGGGAGGAATGGGCGATGAGCGGGAACGATGCGCGCTACGACGCCGACTCCGCCGTGCTCGTGGCCGCAGAAAGCCGCGCTCCAGGAGCACGCCAAGATGCAATGGCTCGCTTGCTTCGATTCAGCTCTCTCGGCAGCAGAAGTGGGGCTGGAGCGGGTGGGGGTGGATGCCGATTGAGGGGGAGCGTCTCCAGCTGCGCCCTGTGGCAGCTGCGCCCTGTGGCAGCTAGTCGAGGGACTTGGTAGTTGTGACCCCCCTGAGTGAGGACAGGAGAGAGAGAGCGTTTTGTGTGGTGTTGGTGTACGCAATAACGGGACAGGGTGGTTGTTCTCTCTATCTCCTCTTCTAGCTCTTAGCATGAGCTGCGCCCGGTGTCCGACCCCTTTTGCGCAGCAACACCTTAAACTTTTAGGCCCTCCAAATTCGGGTCGGAGCGTAGCGGAAGAGTGGGCCCCGAGTTTGAAAAGGGCGACGGACGCTTGCGTCCTAGCCTCCAACAACGCCTCCCCGGCGCAGAGGGGCCCCCGGAGGGATGCACAACCGCTCCACGCCACGCCGCTTGCGGCGGTCCTCTTCCCAGCTCCGCTGAGGGCCCGCGCGTTATATTCTCTTTGCTCAGCCCGCCTCTCTCCCCCCACGCCTGCCACATCATCGCCGCCTCCGCTGCACCTCCTCCTTTACGACATGTGCGCCCGGCCCGCTCTCGCCGACGTCGAGCGGCTCGCACGTGGGCTGGCAGCGGCGCGGCGGGGCACCGGCTCTCGTGGCGTGCCTCACCGGCTGAATGCGGAGGAACACCGCCTCTACGAGCTTGCAAAGGCGCGCCGCCGCGCCTCCCCTCCGATTCGCAGCTCTGTGGTCGCGGAGACTCCTTCTCGATGGGAGGCCGACCTGCCATTGTCTCTCGTATTTCCGATTCAGGATATGACTCGTAGACCGGACCACTCCTCTCTGCCTCGGCAGGCGCGCGGGTATGCTGTGCTGAAAGGGAGTGGGCACCGGAGGGAGAGGAAGGGGTCTCCGCTGCTGAATGTGCTCCGGCAGCGGGCGGACGCGCTGGACGAGTGCCTCGTCTGGTGTCAGCAGGGCGTCCTCACCGACCACTGCTGCGTCGACTTTTCTCCTCGCCGGCTGGGGCGGAGGGAGGAGATGCCGCTCCTCTGCTGCGCGCTGTCGGTGGCGCGGGCGATGGGCGGTGCGGCCGTGGTGGCGGGGGAGGGGGGAGGATGGATCGAGGCCGCCTTGGCAGGGTCAGAGGGGAGCGCTGCACACCTCTCCGCCGCAACCCTGTCAGATGCCCTTCCCGAGGCAGACCTCGAGAGCCTTCCCATCTGGAGGGTGCCGCCCCGCGTGGCGCGCTTCGCATCGCCGCGCGCCGAGCCGCAGCTCACGAAGCGGCTCGCAAAGGCTCTCGTCGCGGCGCTGAGGGAGCACGGCGACTGGGACTGCTCGGGCAGTGCGAGCGGAGGTGAGGCGGGCTAGGTCGTGAGACGCGTGAGGGGGGACAGGGGCGTGAGGCGTGCGAGTCTCACTCTCAGTCTGGCGAGACCGTCTGCGGACGACTGCGACTCGCGACTTACCAAGTGTTGAGCGGGCCTTGCCGGGGCGGGGAGGTGTACTAATACGTTCGTTTTCGCCGGAGGTCGGCGTCAAAACGGACGAGGTCGGAGCGCCAGAGAGCGCAAGCCACGGACCTCCCACCTCGACCCACCCGACGGCGCATGGCCACGGGCGCGACGCAGGCATGCGCGTCGCGAAACGGTATGTGTCCCCCCGCCCCCCTCCCCCCCCTTGCCCCTCCCCATCCGGTATCGTCCCCCGCGCACCGCACGCCGAACGCCCCCACGTCGTTCGCTCGCTCGCCCCTCTCGCTCTCCTCTCCCGCACCTCTCGCCTCGTTGGCACTTGACTGCTGCTGCTGCCACCACCACCCGCCCGCACCCCTCCCTCCCCCCTCCGGCGCTGGGGCACCAGAGGTCTGCGCGGGGAGAGAGGCGGCGGCGGCGGTGCGGGCGCCGCCGCCCAGCGGCGATAGAGGGCTGGTCTGAGAGGGTTGGGATCGCCCCTCCCCCCATGCTGCTGCCCCAGAAGAAGGAGCTCGAAAGACGAGCTCAGAAGAAGACGGAGAGGGCCGAGTCCTGGCCATTCTCCTTGACAAACATCTCAAAGTACTGGTAGATTGTGGTGACGGCGAGCAAGATGCCCGTCCCCGACCCGATGGCGCCCATAAAGTCGGCGGCGACCGTCAGCGCGCCGATGCACATGCCGCCGAACGCGGCGGCGGTCGGGATGTACCGGTTGAGCTCCTTCGCGAGGGACGAGTCGCGGTGGCCCTTCATCACCTGTTCACAGCTAGAGGTGTGAAGAGACGCTGTTCACAGCTAGACGAGGCAGGTGGCCCTTCATCACCATCTGCTGGTCGCGCAGCTGCTTGGCGACGTCCTTGGCAGACGAGCCCGACACCTCGATCCACGTCTTGGAGAAGAGCGCGCACGCGACCAGCACGAAGGCGAAGTAGCAGACGGCGCGCAGCGGGTCGTCGAGCACCTGAGTGAGGGGTGCGGCTCGAGGGACTGGAGTCGCGCCCGGGAAGCAGGCGGCGCGCAGCGGGTCCGTCGAGCGCCTCCGCCAGCGAGGTAGGCGGAGAGATGTAGTAGACGAGCCCCGCCGTCGGCGCCTGCTGCATCGGCCCCGCCGCCTCCTCGTCCTTCCACTTGCCAAACAGGCCGACGAGGAAGTTGTGTGGGTAGCGCTTGTACAGAAGCTGCGACACAAAGTACAGGTTCGAGACGAGGGCCGTCTGGAGGATGATCGGCATGTTGGACGTGTAGAAGAGCTTGATCGGGTACGTCGCCTGCGGTCCGGGAGGCGGCCGGGATACAGCCGAGATCTCGCCGAGCGATGGAGAGCCCGCTCGGGTGACAACATATTATCTTGCTCGGGTGCGTCGCCTGCATGCCGCGCTGCGAGCGGTACTTGACGGGCAAATCGACGCGGAAACCCTGAAAGTAGATGACGACGAGGAAGACGAGGACGGTGGCCATGATGTTGGTCACGTTGGGCAGGTTCTGGCGGTAGAAGGCCTCCTTGAGCGCCTACTCTCGGGAGAGATCGGTGCGTCCTCTCGGAGCCTCGCGGTACGGCCGCCGGACAGGGGCTGCCTTGAACTTGTCCTTGCGGGAGAGGACGAGGTGGAAGAGGGCGACGAGGGCCCCCTCGAACTCGGTGCCTGCTCACAGCGGGAGGTGTGAAGAGGCGCCGTTCACGGCAGGGCGGCGCGGTCCTCTCCCCAGCTCGGCGCCGCGGCCCGTGTTGATGGTTGTCGGCGAGAAAGCCTTCCAGACGATGGTCTCGCAGATGTTGGTGGCGATGAAGAGGGAGATGCCCGACCCGAGGCCGTAGCCCTTCTGCAGCAGCTCGTCGAGGATGATGACGATGATGCCCGCGATGAAGAGCTGCATGATGATCAGGATCGAGTTACCCGCGCCTACAGCACCATCCCCCGCACGCGCGTCGCGGACGTGCCCCATGCCTCACTCCTCAGCCTCGAGCTGCCCGCGCCCAGCTCGCGCACGTCGCCGTACATGCCGGAGATGACGTAGGCGACGGCCTCGCCGATGGTCATCAGGATGCCAAACAGCTTCTGCGCGCCGTTGAAGAGCGCGCGGTCCTCCTTGAGGCCCTGGTCCACGTCGATGATCTTTGAGCCCGCCAGCAGCTGCATCACCTGCACAGAGGGCGGCTCCGAGACGTGTCGGAGAAGTTTGCGCGACAAGCTTCCCGGCGCGGCAGCATCCGCACCAGCGAGGAGGTGATGATGGGGGAGATGCCTGCGGGAGGGGGGGGGAGGCGGCGGTGACAAGCCAGCCGGACCGGCGACTCGGCCCTCACATCTCGCACTCGCCAGCCGTCTCTCCCCCGCCCGATCCGCCCATCCTCTCCCCCGCAGAGACGTGCGGCAGCCCGCCGCCGAGAGAGGGCTTGCGCGGGCTGCCGCCGCCAGCGTGGCGCCGCCCACAGAAGAGCGCTGCGGCTGCCCTCTGCTGCTTCCTCCGCCCCGCTTGCTTTGAGCCCTGCCCGCCATCTCTTCTCTCTCCAACAGCCCGCCTCCCCTGAGCGCCCCCGCCCATCCCTGTTTCCCCCCTCCCCGCGCTCTCGGCCGCCGCCGCGCACCGAGCTCCATCAGCGTCCCGCGGTTCGACGCAAGCAGCACTCGCATCCAGTAAAACGGATCAGTCGACTTGTTTGTCTTTGCGCCGTAAATCGGAATCTGGCAGCAGACGAGGAAGATGAAGAGGGTGATGGCCGTCCACAGGATCTTCTCCTGCGCGAGGGAAAGGCGCGGATGCGTCAGGGCGGCGGCGCTGCTTGCCGCTCGGCGCGCCAGGCAAGCCGCAGCGGTGAGGCGGCGCTGCGCAGAGGCGGCGCAGAGGGCCACGCCGGCGCTTGGCGGCGCCGCGGCTGACGCGCGGGCGCCAGCATCGCAGGTTGCGGTGCTGATAATCCGGCGTACGCACTGCGACTCGCGCAACGTCTGCCTTTGATTGCTGTCTCTCTGTCAGCGCCCAGCACTGACTGCGGGCGGCGAGGCTGTGGCGCGCCTTGAAGGGGATCTTGCGGTCCGGCGGCGCAACCTCGGGCAGGATGTGAAGCACCGGCTTGATGAGCGTGAGGAAGCGGAACTTTCCGAAGGAGGCCATGGCGTCGCGGCGGCGGTGATGGCGAGCTGCCAAGCTCTCGCAGCCTCAACCTCTCCGCTTGCGTGGCGCTCCTCTTCCCACACCACTGGCCTTCCCGCACCGTGAAGGGGGAGCGAACCCTTGCTTGTCAGCCCCGGTTTGCCCCCAGAGCGCGGCGAGTGTGTTGCGAGAGAGCGGAGCCGCTCCGTCGCCCCCCGCATTGCTTCTCGCTCGAGCAGTCTCGGCGCTTTTCGCGGTTGCGCGGACGACTGCTCGCGACGCGCGAGGGCGAGGCGGCTCTCTCAGAGTCTCAGAGTCAGACGTCTCAGTCACAGTGATCAGTGTGGTCAGTACAGAGACTCGAGCGCGCTCGAGTACAGTTGACAACACCGAAAGGCGCCCTTTGTCACGATCAAACTACATACACAAGTCAAACGCGGGGTCCCGGCTGCGGTGGACTGGCGCGCACAAAAGGCTTATGGACAGACACCGTTGGAGCCGCCAGCGATTCATGCGAGCGGAGGACGGCGAGGCATTGCGCCTGCACCTCCTCGTCCTCCGCGTCCTCGTCCTCGTCCTCGTCCTCGTCCTCCTGCTCCTCCGGATCGGTCTCCTCGCCCCGGCCGCCGCGCTGGTTTTCACCCGCCGCCGCTGCCTTCGTGCCATCACTCACGTCGACCACCGCCGCGTCGCGTACCTCCGTTCGTACCGCCTGCACCTCGCGCGCCTCCGCCTTTGCGCGTGCCGCGTGCGCATGCCACGCTCTCTCAAACTCGGCGTCGAGCACGACCTTCGGAGGCCGCACAAACGGCGTCTCCCAAAAGACCTCCTCCTCGGACACCAGCGAGATTTGCACGACCCGCCCGGCGGTGGAGAGCCGCGACGGCGGCGCCCCCATCTCCGGCCCCGCCTCGGACCATTGCCGCTCGGCGTTGGTGTCAAACTGCCACGTGGCCTCGTCCGCGTCGACGCGCCGCGTGAGCAGCGCCGCGACCAAGCCCACGCCCTGGATGGTGAGCATGAGCTGCTGCGTGCCGGGCTGGACACCCACAGAGTATGCCGCCGGTAGCACCTTCAAGTCCACGTCCTCACGCGCCAAGGTCGGGCCACCCTCAAAGGCGCGTATCCGAAAGCAGAAGGACAGTGCCACGCCCTCCTGCCGTCCACCGGCCCAACCGCCTCCTCGCCGTCGTCTGCACCGCCCACGTCCTCGGCGGCGGATGCCGCGGCCGCCGACGCCGCCCTTCGCTGGCAGTGGGGTGCCCGGGGCGGCTGACGGATGCTGGCTGCCGGCAAGCAGCTCGCACCGATGGCACTGCGAGGCCACATGCCGGACACGGCCTTGACGAGAGACAACTCGATGCACGGCGCATGTCCACCGCCATAGACGCGGCCTGTGCTGGTGCCTGCCTTTCCCGCGGCCGCCGCTGCGGCCTCGTCGCGATTCAGGAGGCGCCATGTGCACTTGTCTGGAACGACCGGTGGATGCGGCAGCTTGAGATCTTGCGCAGCGCTTTGATGAGGCGTCGCACCCAGGCGGAGAGGTGTGCTGCGCGTCGAAGCGTACGTTCACGCCGCTTGCCACGAGCGGGCTATCTGGCGGCAGCCACACTTGGACCGTGGCCAGCGTCAAATTGTTTTCCCACGTGATCGTGGTACTTGACCAGTCGCGTCCGCGGCCGACTGGACCTGTCTCGGGCGCGTCGTCGTCGTCGTCGTCACTGCCGATGTGAGCGAATTTGTGGTAGTTTATCGGCATGTATGCGCTCGTGCGCAGCGTTACGTTTTTTCCGGACCTACGTAGATCTTATCAAGTCTCCTCGCGCCCCACCTGCGACAACCTACCTACCTACCTCCGGGCCGAGCCGGCCGTCTGACGTCTCGACCTACCTACCTACCTACCTACCTACATTGCCCCTCCAAAACCTCTTACCTACCTACCTACCTGACTAACTACTAGTAACGGATGTAACGGCCAACAATCGGCCAAAATAGTGTCGAAAACGAGGTAATCCGGCCATGATCGGGGTTACCCAAGGCATAACAACCAGATGAGCGCGATAGGTCATTCATACGACCTCAATTGGCGACTGAAATGGTCAGATTTCAGTCCTTTTTTATGGCCCGACATGTCGAGTAACGGTAGTAACGGTTGTAACGTCTCAGCGGTCTCCATCCAGCCAAACGAAGGACCTACCTACCTACCTACCTACCCCACGCGCCCTGCGGCCGCGCCACCTACCTACCTACCTACCTTCCGAGACTTGATAAGATCTACGTAGGTCCGGAAAAAACGTAACGCAGCAGGCATGGTCGGGGAAGACACTGACGGCGACGGGAAGCCGAACTACCTCGACCCCGACTCGGACGCCGACGGGTGCTCCGACACCGAGGAGGGCGTCTCGGACTACCTCACGCCTGGCTGCACCCCAACAACTGCTACGCCCGCCCCCACATCCGATCCTGCTTCGCGCGTCTTTGGCGACCCACATCTCCATTTCGCGCATGGCGGCCGCGCTGACTTTCGCGGCAAGCACGGCGTTTTCTACAACTTTCTGTCGGCGCCCGGGATCTCCCTGAACCTGATGATCGAGGAGGCGTCCTTCACGCTGCGGAAGGGAGCGCTGCTTGTGGACGGCACCTTCTTTACGCAGGCGCAAAGTACGACAGCACTAGACGTGTGCACAGACTGCAGACTGATCTTGCCCCTAATGACAGGCCCACCTGGCCGCGCGCGTAACTCTCGCCGGCGCCTACCGATCGGCGAGCGCGTCTCTCTGGGCGTCGGCGCTGGGCAAGGGCAACTGGGGCTGGGATGTCATCAACGGCACATGCGCCGGACGCCCCTTCAAGTTCGGGATGATGGGACGGAACGAGTGCGGTGACCTGACCGTTGAGATGGGCATGTCGAGTGCGTCCATCTCGCTGCGAGGGTGGCAGGCAACGTGTGAGTAGATGCCGCGTTGGTCTGAAAGATCGTGGCGGAGCGTCTTGCCTCCCGCCAGACAAGCGACCGCTTGTCCAGCTCCGTGCGCGGCGCCTCTTTACGTCGGTGCACGTGCGGATAGGTCCTCATCCACGGCAATACTGTCTACAACTCCGTCGCTGGGGCGAAGCACCGATTCGACGTGAGCTTTAGTGCCTCGGGCGACACCCCGGCGCACAACTTGCCGCGGGCCCTCGCTGCCGTCGCCTCGTGCGAAGTGCCTCTTCACGCCTTGAGCCGCAAATAGGCTCGCGATCTGCCTCACGGCATCGTCGGCCAATCCTTTGCGTCGAACGCGCGTCGCGAAGGGCGCCGCGATTGGTACCCCCTCTCTGGACGCTTCACAACCTCGGCGCAAGCTGAGGGCGCGATCGAGGGCGAGGCCGCAATGTACCAGATCGCGTCCGCCTACGAGACGCACTTCGCCTTCTCGCGCTTCGACGCCCCCATCACCCAGCCTGCGGCGCGTCATTCGTCGCGACCGGATGCGATCACAACGGCGGCAGCCCTAAGCGACTCATCCGAGGACGACGAGTCGGCTCGCTAAGGTGCGATACAAGACCCCGCACTGGGCTGTGGGCTGAGCACCAGCGCGCGGGGCTCTCGCCCTAACACGGGCCTGACGACACGGAGACCCGGCGTGGAGACGCAATCACACCCCTCTCTCTGTGTCGGCGCTGGGTCGCGTGTGTACGGGGTGTGGGCCCTGACTGAGTGACTCGTGACACTGTCACTGAGTGTGCACAGCTCAGGGGTGTTCTCGTGTTGTGGCTCTTGTGCAACATGTACATGTGCATGTGCGCCGGGCGCGGCCCGAAGCTCTGCCAACCCTCAGCGTTTTCTTATTTTTGGGCTTTTGGGGGGAATAGAGGTGTATGTCCGTTGGCTCTCTGAATACCGCTTCTAGCCGGGCCCTTGACACACAGCACGTCGCGTACAATATGCAGCTGCGCTCACCGCCGCCGCCGCCGGGCGGCGAAACCATGGCCTCAACGAAAGTTCCGCTTCGGCACGCTCATCGAGCCGGTGCGCGGTGCTGCACATCCTGCTCGAAGTTGCGGCGCCGGACCGCAAGATCCCCCCTCGAGCAAGGCTAGTTCCAGGGGCCGGTCCGGGTCACGTCGCGTAGACGGCAGCTTCGGCCGCGTCCAGCTCGGCGAGCTCGGCGAGGTGCGCCTGCAGCATGCATCACTCGCGCGTGCACACGTGACTCTCTAGCAGCTCCGCACCTCGGCGAGCGTGCGCCTCGAGCACACCCTCCGCCGCGTAGTCGGCGAGGCGACCGAGCGGCCGCTGCGCCGCCAGCGTCGCGGCGCGCTCTGCCGCGACGAAGACCTGCGCGGCGACATCGCGCTCGGCGGTGGCTCCGGCGGTCGCGTGCACGCGCGAGGCGAGGTACGCCGCCTCGGCCGCCTGGGAGATATGGGGAGATGTGGGGAGATATGGGGAGATATGGCGAGGTACGCCGCCTCGGCCGCCTGGGAGATATGGGGAGATGTGGGGAGATATGGGGAGATATGGCGAGGTACGCCGCCTCGGCCGCCTGAGGAGCGATAGCTATGACTGAGCTGCCGCTTGGTGGGGGAGGTGCACGCGGCCTCGGCCGCCTCGGTGTGGGCATATCTCCCCACATCTCCCCATATCTCCCCATATCTCGGTGCCGCCTCGGTGTGGGCGCGCAGCTTGCCGAAGCCCTCGAGCGCTTCTTGCAGCGGCGGCAAGACGTGCGCCTGCAGCGTCTGCGCCGACGGCGGCGCTGCCTTGGAGTACGGAGGCAGACTCGCGAGCCGGCACTTGGCAAACGCAAGCTGCAGCCGCGCGACCTCGTCGGCCGAGCCGTGGTGCATCACCGAAATTAATTAATTAATCAATTAAGTAGGTAAGTAATTAAGTACCTCGTCGGCCGAGCCGTGGTGCATCACGTGCGCCCGAACCCGCTGCAGCAGCTGCAGAGCGGCGGGCGGGTCCACCTCGAGCTGCGCGGCCGCGAGCAGCTGCGCGGCTGAGGAGTAGAGGCCTAGACACTTCCTAGACACTCGCTAGACACTTGCTAGACACTTCCGAGCAGCTGCGCGGCAGAGGAGTAGAGGCCGCGCAAGCCGCGCCCTTCGCACAAGGCGACGGCGGAGAGGGCGGGGAGGAGGGCGTTGACTGGCTGCCCGCCAAGCGAGTGCGCCCGCGCCTCTGCGAGCTGGCAGACGACCTGCGGGAGATAGGGGGGGGATGTGGGGAGATATGGGGAGATCGCCTCGAGCAGCCTCCCCTCCTGGTCGCATTCATGAGTTCATCGCTGGCTGGTCGCTCGCTCGCAGAGAGAGAGAGAGCCGAGAGAGACAGCCCCGAGAGAGCCGAGAGAGAGAGCCGAGAGAGAGCTGAGAGACAGCCGAGAGACAGCCGAGAGAGAGCCGACAGAGAGAGAGAGAGAGCCGCCTGCAGCAGCAGCTCTAGCTCCGCGCCCCAAGCAGCGTCCGTCGGGCCGTCGCTCTCGGCGAGGTGCCGCCGGTACTCCCCCAGCAGCGCCTAGGGCGACGTGCAGCCCAGGTCGAGTCGAGAGGAGGAGCCGGCCGCCGCTACTCCTCCTGCGGCGCCGACGCGCGCGCGTGCTCGCCGCGCAGCAAGGAGCCGCGCAGCAACACGTCGAGCGCGTGCTGCCGCCACACGCTTTCCGCCTCCCCAAAGCCGCAGTGCCGCCGCAGCGACACGAGCCGCGCCACCGCCGCGGCCTCGCCCCCGGTCCGGTAGGCCGAGAGGGCGAGCTTGCACGCCGCGAGGAGGCGGTCGTGCTGGGTGGGGAGGGGGTCGGCGGCGGACCTGAATGAAGATGAACTCCCCTTAATTAACCTCAATTGAGGTCGTGCTGGGTGGGGGGGGGGGGGGGTGCGGCGGACCCGAACCGCTCGGGAGGGCGGTAGAGGCGAAGCTGCAGCGACGCGTGCAGTGACGCCAGCCTCGTCTCTCCGAACCTTCATTCAAACTCATTAAGTTCATGCATACTTGATTCATCTCAATTCACTAAGCCTCCTCTGCCCAAACCTCTCCCACGCGCAAGCCCGCACCAGCTGCGCCGCGGCGCCGCTCCCGTCCGCGCCGCACCGGAGCGCCTCCCACGTGCGGAGGGGCGGAGGCGCGGTCTTGGGGAGGGTCGGCCGCGCCGCTGCTGCGCCGCCGACCGGCGCGGGCGGCAGGCAAGGGGTGCGGACGGAGGAGGTGCGGCCGTCCGCCGCGGCTGGCGGCGGCGCGGCGGCGGCGTTGCCTGCGCTTGCTGCGCCGGGCAGCGGGGCCTCGGGGGCGACGCCCGCCTCGAGGGAGGCGCGGAGGGCGAGGGAGGCCTGTTCACAGCGAGACGTGTGAAGAGCGTCCTCGGCCTCGAGGGAGGCGCGGAGGGCGAGGCAGGCCGAGGCGAGGGCGGCGAGGTCACGCAAGCCGAGCTCCTGGGCGCGCGAGAGGCAGCGCTCGAGAAGAGCCGCCTGTGCGCTGAGGAATCAATTCATAGGTAGTTCATGCGAATTACGAGGCAGCGCTCGAGGAGAGCCGCCTGCGCGCTCTCGCGCCGCTCCGCCGCCTCCCCCTCCCGCTGCCCCGCCGGGGCCAGCCTTCCCCACACATCGGCGCCGCAGCCGTCCTGCGCGTGCGCCAGCCAGAGCAGGCCGTGCGCGAGGCAAGCCTATATTATATTATATTATATTATTATATATATTATATTATGAGCCAGCCAGAGCAGGCCGTGCGCGAGGCAAGCCTGCTCCGCATCGTACGGTGGTGGGAGTAGAAGGACAACCTCGGGCTAATGACGGGCGGAGCCAGGCCGGGTCGTCGTTTTGCTGCGCCAAGCGCAGCGCCTCGTGCAAGGCCGCCAGCGCCTGTCACTCACACACTGTCCTCGCGCTCCTCTTCTGATCACGAGCCTCGTGCAGCGCCGCCACCACCTGCTCGCGGTGCCCGAACTTAATTAGTGCGAATTCATCAGTAATTAACTAATTCGCCGCCGCCTGCTCGCGGTGCCCGAACTTAATTAGTGCGAATTCATCAGTAATGAACTAATTCGCCGCCGCCTGCTCGCGGTGCCCGCACTTAATTAGTGCGAATTCATCAGTAATTAACTAATTCGCCGCCGCCTGCTCGCGGTGCCCGAACTGCAGCAGCAGCTGCGCCAGCCTCACGTCAACCCACTGCACACCGCCCCCCTCCGACACGTCTCGGCCCTTCCCGCCCCCGCCCGCTCCGCCGCCGCCCGCCGCGCCGCCGCCTGCTCCCCCCGCCGCGCCGCCGCCCGCGCCACCGCCCGCGCCGCCGCCCGCGCCGCCGCCCGCGCCGCCGCCGCCGGCCGCCGCCGCCGCCGCCGCCGCCGCCGCAGCAGGAGTGGGCGGGGGGGCGGCGGAGGAGGAGCGGTGCAAGTCGTGGTAGCGATGGAAGGCCTCGAGTGCGGGGAAGAGGTCCTTCGCCTGCGT